ACCAGCACCAAGTGTATAACAGTGTTACACACCAAGTACGTAACAGTTTCTTCTGAGATTGGAACATTCCATCCTTCAAGGAAGCTCTTTAAGCAGAGAAGTAAACAACTCAAAAGAGCTTCAGAAAGTTCCTGAAACTGACCAGATTCTTTAGCCCCTCCTTGCCAGAGTAAACAATAAAATATGAGAACCCCTCTCAGAAAAGCCCATGTTGCAAAGAAGACTGAGAGCTGACCACCCACCTGGAAGAAGCAGAAACCAGCAGAACTGGAAGAGGATTCAATCAACTGATGCAGCTGGAAGGACCCTCTCCAACCCATTGAGCTGCTGCAGGCGGTGCAGCATGCTCCAGGTTACCATATTTTGTGAGATGTTACCCAGGCTGGGGTGGTCTTTGGTGATGTATCTATCGTTGAGTCATTTCTGCTCTGTAAGTAACCCCAATAAAACTCATTGGTTTACCATGTAATTTTGATGTTATTTGTACTTTGGTCTGCCATGAGTTCCCTGAAGGAGACCCTGGAACAGTTGGGGCTTCCTCTTGGACCCCAGATTAGGCACAAACCACAGTCAAACACCTGTGTTTTTTTTTTTTTTCAGAGAGATTCCTCATTAAGTGGGGAAGAAAAGTTACAGTGGCTGCTTTCTGACTCAGACAGAAAACAGCAGCAAATGACCTTGAAAGTGTAATTTTTAAGAAAAGGAAAGCAGGAAGCTCTGTGTTAGAATGGGCTAGGAAATGGTAAAGGAGATAGGGGACAAGGGAGGAGGGAACAAGGAAAAGGGGGAAAGGGTGCTTCTCCCAGAGGACAAAGGACTGCCTCTGGATGAAAGGGAGACAGATGTGGCACATAAGCAAACAGTGATTTATAAAGATCAAGGGGGAAACCTCTCCCCTCCCCCAGGTTAGGATGAGGTTTTTAATTTTAATTGGGTATGCTAATTAGGTGAACCAAAGGGGGCTTCTGATGGCTGGACTTTGGTAGTCAGCCTCAGGAGGAAGATGTGACCAAATAAGGGACTAGACCTTGGTGACTAGCTTTAGGAATGTAATCTAATGGTTTTTAGCAAGGCAGAAGGAATGGGGAGAAGGACAAGGCCTGCCAGAGCCACATGTTCCAGTGGCCTAGTGTCCTTTCAGTCTTTGTCAAATAGACCCAAGAAACAAGTGGGGGTAGCAATCCTAATACCCAACAAATTGGAATTTAAACTAAAATCAATTAAAAGAGATGAAAGAGGTCACTTCCTACTCATCACAGGAGAAATCCATCAGGATGAAGTCTCAATTCTGAATATTTATGCCCCAAATACAAAGGCATCCATGTTCGTAAAAGAAACACTACTAAAGCTCAAATCACACATAAAACCTCACACACTTATAG